CCAAGCCCCGACCCCACAAGACAAGGACGGAGCAGCCGGAAAAGCTGGAGGAAGGGGGGCCCACTGGTCAGACCCTGAAGCTTCGGCCGGGAGACAAGACTCGAATGCCTCTGCCACCCCCCCGGAAGGGGCAACCCCCGAAGCTGCCCGAGTCTCGAGATCAAGTAACCCCTGCTCCGACCCCGAAACCCTCAGACGCTTCGGGGCCGGAAGCAGGGGCGGGGGACCAGAACGAACAGAAGGGGAAGGACGAGGAGGTGCGGACTGAACCAGGATCGAAGCGACCCCCACCCCCAAGTCCGGGTCTCGAAAAGCAAAGCGGGGCAGCCCCGGGGCATCCGGGGAAGCAACCAACCGAGCGCGTTGCAACAGACGAAACCTAGACTGCAACGCACGTGCCGCCTGTACCCGAATAGAATCATCAGAGGATTGGGTAAATTGAGTCACAAGCAAGCAGCAACACTCACAGGACTCAGGGTCGAAAGTATCACCGACCCAACAGGCAGCGTGGCAGAGGCAAAAACAATGAGGGTCACCCTGAGACAAGGGGACCGAGCAACCCTCAAACTCGCACACAGCGAGTGGGGACTCCGGGGTCACATCCATCGGACCCACGCGCCCCCTAGGGGATTCCCAGGGTCCTGAGCGTTTACTTTAAGAGGACTCGCGCTCAGGTAGTCCCAGGCAGGGTGCTGCAAACCGGCGCCCAAAACTACCAAGCAAACTTCTAAAGCTGAACCCCAGGGACGTGTACACTCACGGGGACCTAGCAGGGGGCGCCACCGAGGAGAACAGTGGAAGGGCAAAAACAAACTGAATAAAATGACAGAACCCCCCACCAGGCAAAAACAAAAAGAAAAACAAAACCCCGCAAGAGGACAGCGAACCCCAAGGAACAGAGCCGGCCGCGATGTCGGGAATTACAAGCTGAGCAGCACCCTGCGCCCCTACCAGTGCAAACTGCCTCTTACCTGCCGGTAACAAGGGAGAACAGAACACCCAAGAGCCCAACAGGCGGCCGAAAAACCGAAAGGTAAAACGGACCAGCAGAGGCAGACCCCGAGGAGCCTGTGGAAGGTGGCCCCAAGCCCCAAGGGCAGTACTTACAGGGCACCTAGGGAAGGCAGCCCTAGGCGCATGCAGCCCGAGTACTGAAGATAACTCCTGGCTCTCGCACCCACAAAACTAACACCACACTCAAAGCACAGTGCAGTAGCGACACCGGAGCCAGAGCACACGACCATCGCCTATAGCATCAGCCTCAAGAACTGAGGTGTGGGTAGCCGGCGCGGGGGGTCTGGGGCTCCCCCTTCCCCCTCCCGGGGAGGGGGGAGCTGCGCAGACAGCGGCGCGGCAGTGTGTGACGTCACACTAGTTTGCTTGTTTTCGGTTGGGGAGTTCTATCCACTAGTTCGGTTTTAGGTAGCAATTTTAACCAGAATAGGGGTTTGTTTTGGGGCGCTTACCTTTCTGGGTGCCTGTTCCGGTCGATGGCAGACATAGAATGCTTCCAACTACACGGGGGCTTCTATAGGCCATTGCTCCCCTTGCCTCTCTGAGGGGGCCCGGTTCTGGCCGTGGTCCCCGGTAGGCCTAAGAACTCCATACACATGACTGATGCCAAAGTCTGACATTAGCATATCAGCCTGGGATAGCTCCGGGGAGCCGACGGGGCTCCCCCCAGAAAAATGAAGAAAAATCAATCAGACACATTGAAATAATTAGGTAATTATCTCTTTGTGATCACTCCTGCCTGACAGCTGGGGCTGAGCAGATCACCTCCTGATGCATGCCGAGTCAGCTCATCTTTTTTGCTAGACTCCCCCCTCCCCCTAGCGGGCAAAATATGCCACTTACGATTTTTTTATTATTTTTCCTGTGATCAGGGAACACAAATTAAAAGGTTTAGAAGAAAAAAAAAATTTTTTTTTGTTATGTGACTGTGGGTGACAATGGCCAAATAGCCCTTAGCAACAAAAGGGTTAAATATTTAGCACATGGTATAACTTTTTGAAAAACCTGGAAATGGATTGAAAATCATGAATAGTATGCATATATTTACTGTTAAGAATGTATATACAATTCATGCTTCAAAATCTGGAGTTCCATATAATGGATCCCTCTAAACAATAGGGCAATGGGTCTACCCTCCATATCAAATTTATCAGAAAAAGTTTGAATTCTATAAAAAAAATTCTGTCAAGTAAAGTAATTTGCTGCATATCACAATGGTTCGCAGTTTATTTTTTATTCTTGCACCTTTTATTGCTCAATGGTAGTCAGAGTTTAGGTTAGTGCAGGTGCAGTGCCAAAAACCCAGCAATGTAATGAAACAGCTCTTTCTGGATGAGCCCTGGTGGCACCCTGAAGCTATTTCACCAAGTCACATCAGATGCAAGAGTTCTGTCTGGCCTACTGGGGACCATAGTCAAAACTTGCCCCCCCCCCCCCACCATCCCTCACAAGAGGCACAGTGTGATAATTCCCAACACACTGGGAAAATATCCAGGAAGTGAAGCCTTACAGACAATTGGAGGGTTAACAAGACACAGTCAACCTAGGAAACTGCCCTAAGAACACGCAGGGACTCTGAGGTCCAGGAACAGTGACCAAAAGCCAGTCTGCCAGAATCTTGGTTAGTCTTCAAAAAAAAACCTCACTCTAATATAAGCTACCCAGGAAATACTAGCAAAACAGCTGAAAGAGTGGCATAATTTTGGATGTCACAAGCATGAGGGAAAGGCACAGGTTGGCAAGCCTTAATGACACTGCAGACAACCTGAGAAAGACGAGCCTTGGAGCAGAATGAACAACATCGACCAACAAGGCGCCAACCAATACAGAAGCAGTGGCAAGAAGGTAGTGACACAGAGCCATTACCAGGAACAAAACATGATGAACCTTCAGCCAAACCAATCAAGCAGCAACCACTAACAGACCCCTCTAAAACCAACCTACTCAACCTTCACCAGAAGAGAAAGAACCGGCTGGAACCGTACAAATAGACCCCCAGATGTAGAAGACCGAACCGAAAGAATAAAAATCCCAGCGCTGAAATAGAATATGAAGCTCACCAACATGGCAACCTGAAGGAGAGAGACCAGGAAAAAGAGCCTTGAGAAAACAATCCTGGACCAAAGGGAACACAAGTAAACCTCGCTGAAGAAAAAAAACGGAGCACCAAGACCAGAGACCTCGCTGCAGTCTCCAGCGGCGCATGAGCAGGCCAGAGGTGAAACGACACACCAGACAGACTGTCAAATGGAGCCGGGGAAATATCTCCCGTGACAGCTGACTAACTCCCAGATACCTATTTACTGCTAGGCATTAGGGTGAAAGAAACTCTGCCCATTGTTTCTCGCCAGCACCCGGGATCGAACCCGGGACCACAGGATCATGCGTCCAGCGTGCTGTCCGCTCAGCCTCCAGCCCCCTGGGTGCCTGAATGTCTCGCAGCGCCAGAGGAGGGAGGCGTCACTGACAGTCCACTCCATGGAGACGGGACATAACTGGGACAGGAAAGAACGTTGGACACTCCCAGAACATGAATGGCACAGAGACTCCAAAGTGAATGTCCAGCTCCAAAGAAGCAGGGACTACAGCAACCCCCTCCCCAGCACAGTGGAGACAATGAACCACAGGAGAACAGTCCAAATGGAGCCAGACTAAGGAGCATGGAGGAATCCGAATCTTCTGCAGTACTTGTCACACGGCCGCAAACTTCTGCACTGTACTGTGCACCAGACAAAGGAGTACAGACCAATGCTCCCGACCAGCTTGATGATCGCTGGCGACAAAGCCCCAGCTGAGAGCCGAGGCGTCTGTAAATACATTTAATGTGTGCAGAGAAAGGTACCGAACCCTGAAAAGCCTAAATAGAAAGCTGGCAAAGCAGTAACCAACAAAGGGCCAACAGAGTCTGCACCCTGAGGTCGCTGCAGTAGTGAAAGGGAGGTGCCTTGGAGGAACCAGTACATTCATTCATTGAAGCCAAACTCTGCACAGGTGAAACCCAAAGAGGGCATAGTTGAAGCTCCCACATAGCCGTCGAGCAACTGCCAAGGCACCTGGCCCAACTCAACACCAACAAAGGCAGCACTGCAAGAAGGACAAGGCCGCTGGAGGCAGGGAGAGCAATGCCAACCGAGTGTCCCAAACAAGACCTAACCAAGTCCGAACCTAGGCATGAACAAACTGGGACTTCTGCCAACCCACCAGGAACCCAAATCAGGCAGCTGGGAAAAAACAGATTCCTGACTAGCAGACACATTGACCTGCTGGGAGCTCACACGAGCTAGTCAACGAGGTAGGCCAGAACCCGAACACCCAAGAGACGAAGACTAATCACAATCGGAGCTAAGTGCATGAAAATGCACAGAGCCAGACTGAGGCCAAATGGGAGGCCTCATTTGTCAGACCAATACTGGAATATGTGGCTCCAGCCTGGAGTCCACGTCTAGTCAAACAAAAAACGAAGTTAAAAAAGGTTCAGAAGTATGCCACCAGGCTAGTCCCTGTGCTGAGAGGTATGAACAATGAGGAAAAACTGTTGGAACCAAACCTCATGACACTGGAAGACAGAAGAGTTAGGGAAGACATGATCACTACAATTCTCAGAGGAATTGATAGGGTAGATAAAGATAAACAGTTTAGCACAAGTGGGATGCAAACAAGGGGACACTTGTGGAAACTTAGTACCCAAATAAGCCACAGAAATGCTAGAAAGAACTTTTTCAGTGTCAGAGTAGGTAACATGGAATGCTATCTACTTTACCTACCTCATTAGGCAGTGAAATGGTGGAGGCGTACTCCATACACAGTTTCAAATGTAGATATGATAGAGCCCAGTAGGCTCAGGAATCTGTACAAAGAGCCAAAGCTCAACCCCCAAAAGCACAACTAGATGAGTGCAACTAGGTAAGTACAGCAGGACTAGGTATGTATTTTTGAAGACAAATAAATACATCTACAAATCCTAGTGATACAGTAAGTGCACTTACTTAGTCTTCTTAGCAGGAGACGTGTCACTATCCGAGGATCGCTTGACAGCTGGTTGAGGGGAATGTGCAGGAGAGGAGCTCTCACCCATTGCCTCTTCAAGGTTAGAATTCACTTTTACATCCAGTTCCTCTTCTGCACCCATGTAAGAAATAATGTACAGTATATATGCATACAAACATATACAATATAATAATAATATAATTATCTTTAGCAACTATCAGTGTATTGGGTCAAGTGAATCAAGTATTATTAGAATATTTTGAATGTTTCCAGTAATTGTGTTCTTTATCCGCTACATTGCGCACCTGGTTTTGGCAAAAACTTCTTAGTGCAATTGTCAAGGACATTTTTGTTGTTTTTATAAATATTCAGGTAAAGTTAATGTCAATGTTGCCAAACTTAACTATTTCCATTTCAAAACACAGAGTAAAGAAAACATTAAAAAACATTAAAATATAACCTCCACCAAACTTTCAAACCTCCTCTCTCTTCATACCCACATCATCTTCCAGAATTTCACCTCCCCATCCCTCTACCTCCCTCATCCATTCCAAACCCTTTGGACATCAAATCCAAATATAGCCTAATTAAAAAAAAAAAAAGCACAACTCTCAGAGCGCCTAAAGGCATTTTGCGCAGTGCAGTGGTTAACCCTTAAACCGAGCAAATCATATATATATGATTTCAGTGACAAAACCGAAACCGCGCATGTCATATATATATGATTTTGTGTCTAGCGCTATAATTTAAACGCCCCGCCTGGGATAGGGGCAGCTATAGTGCCGCCAGGACCGATAGTTGCCAGATGCCACCTAGAAAAAAATCCAGGCCAACATTCTTGGGTGCGAGAGCTTCAGTATTGAGCGAGCCACCAAAGCTGACGCACGCAGCACGAGCTCACAGCACACAGCACTTTGCTGTGTACTAACCCTATTCTTGCCTCTCCAGATGCGAACCAACCCTTCATCCTTAATGTTGATGCCAGCAGCACCGGCATTGGAGGTGTCCTGAAGCAGCAAAGAGAGGGAAAAGTCCTTCCAGTCAGCTTCTACAGCTACAAGCTGAAACCTCACCAACAAAACTACAGCACTATAGAGAAGGAGCTACTCGCCATCGTCCTATGCTTGCAACGATATGAACCATACCTTCAAGGACACCAACCCATCACCATCTATTCTGATCATAATCCTCTTCGTTTTCTACAGCAAGCACAATTCTCCAACCAGCGTCTACTTCGTTGGGCCTTGTACCTACAAAACTACAATGTCCAGATCTTCTACATCAAAGGATTAGACAACATAGTTGCGGACACACTATCACGTGTTCATGAAGTGGAACCTTCTGCTTCCACACTCCTTCCAGCATCGACATATCAGGCATTAGGAAAAGGCTTTGGGGAGGAGCTGTCACGTGAATCCCCCGCATAGCAGTGGAACTGCCTTTTCCCTTCACCTTCAATGCCTCTGTACTGGAAGTCTACATCTACACCAGCCCAGATGAGTCATCAGTCCTGCCACCTCTCCATACCCCCCAGGGCCTGGCACGGCCTGGACCGGCTCAGAGGCAAGCCGGGTGCCTCTGCTAACCAGTAGTTTGTTCCCACAAACAAGCAGTTACCCGCCTTCAACTGACAGTGGTGCAGCTCAACACAAAGGCACCGCCAGCCACAACGACCAGTTTGCTAGTTGACCTTGCGTTGACACTGGAGGAGTCATCACCACCGGACTATATAAAGGGCGCTGCCTCCCTGGAGAGCCAGTCTCTCTCTTAGTGCTCTAGGATCACCTTTGTGTCTCTCACCCGTCGTCCGCCTTCAGCCAACTTCATGTGATTGATGCCATGGTGGTATGGTAGCTGTCTTCAGTACACCAGTATATCTTTATGCTTTTCTTCATTGCTTATACTGTAGTTTATTTTTACATTTAAGATCATACTAACTTGTTCACTTTTGCATTGCATGAGAGCCAAGTATTTTCAGGGGCATTTATGTTCATTAAGATTACAGTAAATTGTTTAATTATTTATTTGATGATTTTTATTTGTTTCCACCTGCGACTTACACACTGCAGGGCCAATAGCAGCATTTTTGTTTTATTATGTGCGGGAGAACCATACCATCTTGGTTCAGTATAGCTGCGATACCACAACCCGTCACAGGATCATCAATGTCATATTCCATAAGTTTAAGTTTCTTGTCCATTTCTTCCATTGTGAGTGATATAGTGTCAAGCGAGCAGCATGAAGCCACCATGAGCCAGAGCTATATACATCACTCATAGTTGCTCTCTCCAAACTGAGGCCCACCCGCTCACATGTAGGAGCCTGCAATTTTTTGCGGGCAGCAGTTTACAGGAGGCCTGAGGTATCGAATGGGTGCCCCATTTACCAAGCAGGAGTTTCAAATTTTATGATACTTATTAAAACGACACTGGTTGCAATGTGCACCACCATGACACAACACGTCGCATCTGGCCCCGGCGCCAACGTCGCATCCGGCCCCGGCGCCAACGTCGCATCCGGCCCCGGCGCCAACGTCGCATCCGGCCCCGGCGCCAACGTCGCATCCGGCCCCGGCGCCAACGTCGCATCCGGCCCCGGCGCCAACGTCGCATCCGGCCCCGACGCCAATCCGGATCCCGGCATGCTGAGATGTAGCTCCAATTCTAGCTCTGCCTGGGTGTCCTTGACAATTTGTTTGAAAACATTGGAGATTTCCGTGCAGGCAGTTAGAAGTGATTCTCTGTGCTCTGCTGGGGTTTCATAAAATATTGTGATCATTTTCAGTACAGTAATATTATCCTTTTCACAGAACCAGTACACCGAGTGGTTTCTGGGACCAATTTTCCTGGCATTATTTGACATGTTGGCACATTTACTGTGAATGGCTGCCGAACATAGCTGGCACTCGAAGCTCTGGTGATAATCTGCTTCCTTGTTGCATTCTGTGCACATCTTTACTAAAGGCATTCTGACCATAATGCTTCTGGTCAGTGGGGGTGGTAAGGCAGTGGACCGGTGGTTTCTGACCAGTGGTAAAGGAAGGGGGGGGGGGGAAGCCGACCCTTCAATGCCTACCGAGTGTGTACACAAACCTCGTGGCCCCTGTACACAGAGTCTGGTGTGTGTGTGTTGCCGCACTATTCACTGAATTATATGTTCTAAATTTTCCACTTGGCAATTTTCCTACACTTTCAAGCCTTTATGCCTGTTTTGTTACCATTCACTATTCACCGTATCACTGTTCACTATTGTCTAAGTATACCGAGGTAAGTATATGTAGACTTGGGCCTCGTGTAGAGCCTCGTGTGGGCACTCGTTCCCACGTGGGCAGGTGAGAGGTGGTTTTTCTCTATTAAACACAAAGTTCTAATGGCATCACTGTATTTGTTCTTTCCTAAACGTGGTTTTACACTTTGTGATAACTGTGATCCGTGTTATATCACTGTAATTCTAATATGGGCAAATATATTGAAATTTATTCAAGGAGCATGCGACCCACACCCCTCCCACGCACAGAAAACTGGACAGCCCTCCCTAGTACTGTATACACGTTAAGTACAAGAACAGCACTACTGTATATATATGTATATGTCCCTTGGACTTTATAATGCATCTCAAAGTAATGAATGACATTAAGTGCATCTAAAAGTAATCAATACCATTCCATTTAAGTGCATCTCAATGTAATTAATATCATATCTTTAAGTACCTTTAAAATAATTATTATATTATTTAAAGTAAAAAATACTCACCCTCTTTCTCTGGATACATGGGTGGCAAGTGCTCGTGAATATGGATTGGCCGAGATAATATCTCCCGGGAGCCTGGCTTCAAGAAATTAAGGTTGGAAGTCCGTGGTACAGGTAGAGATGGCAGCGAGTGGGGAAATGGTGGGCAGTCAACGTTGTTGATGTATTCTTCAAGTTCCGGCACAGATATCCCCATGTCGTGGAATGCCAGACCCAGATCGTCTAGGTTGGGTTCAGTACGACCAACTGCAAATGAAAAACCTTATAACAGTACTGGCATATTGAATTTTATATCTGCAAACTTATTAACCTGCTAAAAATGCATAAAAAACCAGCACTGAACGTAATGAAATGCCATTTACTGGGCGAGACTCGGAGGCTCCCCCAGAAATATCCAGGTGATATGAATGTATTAGACCCTGGCATCATTCAAAGCGAATAGAGTTCTCAGGCTACCGGGGACCACGAGCCAGAATCTGGCCCCCTCAGAGTGGCACAAGGAGCAACCGCCTATAGAAACCCCATGTGGTTGGGAGCATTCCATGTCTGCTATCAACCGGGTCAGGCACCCAGAAAAGTAGGCACCCCAAAACAAACTATCTAGTTAAAATATTGCTACTGAAAGCCGAACTGTTGGACAGAACCTCCCCAAAGAAAAACGAGCAAATGAGCATGATGTCACAGCCATCACCCCGCCGCTGTCTGCACAGCTCCCCCCTCCCCGAGACGGGAAAGGGGAAGCCCCAGACCCCTGTGCCAGCTATGCACACCTTCAGTTGAGGCTGGATAAAAAAAGAAAAAGAAAAGACCGGAGGAAGGGAGGGAGGGTTGCCAGGGAGCCTCCAGGTCTCACCCTGAAATTGGAGTTTCATTACATTCAACACTGGTTTTCTGGGGGAGCCCCTTTGGCTCCCTGGAGCTTTGGAGTAACCAAAGATAAAACAAGATGGATTTACCCAGGAGGTCCTACTCGATCCTCAAATCGAAGTCGAGATAACTGGCTGCAACCGTCGACCCAATGCGACACATGCCCGATTAGGGCCAGTAACAATGACTAGGTAGCGAGCGGCCTAGACACTGTTCGACCTACAAAAACCCTGTACCCGAATGTCAGCCCAACCAAACCCAATGTCAGCCCAATAACCAAAGATGGCAGCCAGCGCAGCAAACTTACGAATGTCATGGGCACGAGGATAGACCACAGGCGGGCTGGACCGAATAATCCTGCAGACGACCTGGAAGACCCGAACCATGGAGCAGGGAAGAAAGGGAAACCGGGTCAACCCAAAGCGCGTCCCCGGCCACTGAGGCCGTGGCACGCAAGGAACGGAGAAGAGCCGCAACAGATGCATGCACCTCCAGCCTATCCAATCAAGCATCAACAACCCAACGACCCCTCTGGAAAGCAGCAGTCTCATTCTTCACCAGAAAAGGAGATGCTGCAACTGAACAAACCTATCACCAGGACCAAAAGAGCAGAAACCTGTGCACCGGAGAAGAGCATGAAGCGCCTAACCCCGACCCCTCCAGAGGCCAATGCCAACAGAAAGAGCCTTAGAGAAACATATATAAATATATACACACACACACTATATATAGTCTGTCCATTATTTTGGAGAAACAGATGGGCACTAAAACACAATAGCAATATATATTTTATATATATTGTCAACTAGTAACAAATAACTTGTGAAACAGTAAGGATACTAGAGGAAAGGATTTTCCAGGTGAGGCGGGTGGTAATGACAGTAACTGGAGCAGAGAGGCTTATCGTGGTAAGGTGGGTAGTTATCATGTTATCAACTGGCCACAGCTCACCTTACCAGGCCAGGGCTGGCATCAGCCTAGGGTAGTTAGCAGCATGCTGTGCCGTGACTAACCACAGTGCCTATCATGCACCAGTGAGGCAGGACACATCTCATATACTCTAGTAGACCATATGAGAGAGGAGAGAGGAGGTGGGGTAGAGAGGGTATACTCACAGTGCTCAGTGTAGCGGTGAGTGAGGCGACACACCTCACTCATGTAGCGGTGAAGAAGGTCACACACAACATCTAGGGGCGTGGAATATACACCCTGGAAACCTATCGTCTGACAGATCTGCCCGACAGATATTTTTAAGATCTCATTTCTAAATTGGCTTGCCATGATTGGCTGTGGAATATTTGCATCACTCGGATTATTAAGGTTATCTAGTAGGGGAGAGCCAGCATCAGTGTAACTCTGGAGACGACCCGTCGGCTCCGCCGTCTGCCATATTGCATTGATCCCAACTGATGGTAAATACACCTCTCTTTACCTTATACATCAACTGTAACTAATTCACCACAAATTATAAATATTGTCAATTTATAAAATCTAGATATATTTATCATAGACAATTAATTAAGTTTAAATTACAATGAAAATACGAGAACAAATAGTAAAAGTAAGTTACTTTTATTAAATCTTAAAGGAACAACACTTTTTTATTAACAAGCTTTGGTACTCACCTAGTTGTGCTTGCGGGGGGTTACGCTTTGGCTCTTTATTTATTTATTTATTTACAAGAAGGTACATTGAAATTGAATATAGATTCAGGTTTGAGTAGCAACATCTGCAAATTTGCAAATGATACAAAAATCGGTAGTGAAATTAACACGGAAGAAGACTCACTATCACTTCAATTAAGTTGATATTCCATCTTCCAGTACAGACATTAAGGACTATCTTTCAGGTAACTATCCACAGTCTCTGTACCTAAAGCCTATTAATTCCACTGACGTCAATGAGATAATCCTTTCCCTTAAAACCAAGTCTGGTGCCCTTGAGGAGATACCAACTTTAATTTACAAAAAAGCCTCCAGATCTTTAGCCCCTGCTATTGCTTTGCTCTTCAACAAGTCACTTGAACTCCAAACCTTCCCAGATATTCTAAAAAAAAGCGAGAGTAACGCCTGTCCACAAATGTGGTAATCTCACAGATGTTAACAACTACAGACCTATATCTATCCTGCCAAACTTGTCAAAAAATTTTGAAAAACTAATCTATAAGCAGCTTTACTCATATCTAGCCAAACTCAATATACTTAGCCCTTGCCAATATGGCTTCAGACCCAAAAAAAGCACTAACGATGCACTTATTAGTATGCTTAACTCGATTCATACAGCTCTTGATAAAAATGAGTTCCCTGTTGGGTTGTTTGTGGACCTGCGTAAAGCTTTTGATACTGTCAACCACCAAAACCTTCTTCTTAAATTACATCATTATGGAGTCAGAGGACACTCCCTACAATACCTCAAATCCTACCTTACTGACAGGCTCCAATATGTTTCTGTGAATAATACAATTTCTCCCACCCTACCCATCAACATTGGTGTTCCCCAGGGCAGCATACTTGGCCCTCTCCTCTTTCTCATCTACATTAATGACCTTCCAAATGCCTCACAACACCTCAAACCAATTCTATTTGCTGACGACACAACCTTCATTTACTCCAGTCCTGATCCCCTTGCTCTAAATGCCACAGTAAATACTGAGCTAAATAAAGTCCATCTGTGGCTAACTGCCAACAAACTCACCCTTAACATTGACAAAACCTTCTATATTCTGTTTGGCAATAAATCCTCTAATCAAATAAATCTCAAAATAAACAATACCCAAATTTGTAACAAATTAGATGGCAAATTCCTTGGCATTCTCATTGACCACAAGCTGAATTTCCAGGGACACATACTAAACATATCAAAAAAAGTTTCAAAAACTGTGGGCATTCTTTCTAAGATCAGATATTATGTACCACGCCCTGCCCTGGTGACTCTCTATTACTCCCTTATCTATCCATATCTCAACTATGGTATTTGTGCTTGGGGCTCTACTACCCAAAATCACTTACGTCCTCTAATTACTCAACACAAAGCTGCTATTAGGACAATATCCAATTCTGGCCCCAGACATCACTCGGTACCCCTACTCAAATCTTTGAATATGTTAGACATTAAGTCACTGCACATTCTCTCATGTGTAGTATACATATATAAAACGCTAAACTATAATGCCAATCCTGATCTCAAAAGCGTCATAGAAGGTTGTAACAGAACCCATGAGCATCACACCAGAAATAAATACAGTTTTGATATTCCTAGAGTACGTCTTAATCAAACTAGAAATGCTCTATAAATCAAGGGGCCCAGAATGTGGAATGACCTTCCCAACCATGCTAAAGACTGTACCTCTCTCAACCAGTTTAAGTTAAAAGCGAAGCTATACCTAATAAATTCCCTGTAACCTACCTTACCCTTCTATTGTCAACCAATGTCTGTTTTTTTCTTTAAAGAGCGCTGTTTGTCGACATAATTGTATTTGTGCTGCTTTTTCATCTATGTTTTCATTTCTTGTTTTCATTCTACTCATTATGTTCAATTAGTATTAAACTTGTCATTTAAGTTTATCATGCCCGAAACGCTTTGCGTAATAGTGGCTTTAGGCATTGTATGTACTAGCTCTACCTATAAGTCTACCAATCCTTGTAAAAATTTATTGTATGTATGTACCTTACCTAAATAAAATTGTATTGTATTGTATTGTATTGTATTGATCTAAATAGGGTTTTGAAATGGTCAAAAGATTAGCAGATGCAGTTTAATGCAGATAAATATAAAGTTCTGAGGCTGGGTAATGATGATAGAGTTACAAGATACGAGCTAGATGGTGTTGAGATTGCGAAGTCGAATTGCGAAAGGGATCTGGGAGTTATGATTAGTAAGAATTTAAAACAAATAGATCAATGCATGAATGTTCGTAATAAGGCAAATAGGACACTGGGATTTATTAATCGAAGCGTTAGTAACAAGACACCTGGTGTGGTTCTTCAGCTATATCTTGCTCTGGTTAGGCCCCATTTAGATAATGCAGTTCAGTTTTGGTCGCTGTACTATAGAATGGATATAAATTTACTTGAACGTGTCCAGCGTAGGTAAGTTAATTCCCCAAATTAGAAATCTTTCATATGAAGAAAGATTAACAAAGCTTAAATTGCATTCACTGGAAAGGCGAATAGTTAGGGGTGACATATGATAGAGGTTTACAAGTGGATGAATGGACACAACAAAGGGGATATTAATAGGGTATTATAATGTCTACATGTCTACACAAGACAAAACACGAAACAATGGGTATAAATTGGATAAATTTAGATTTAGGAAAGACTTACTAGTGGCTTTACAAGATTGTAAATACTGTACTATTCAATGTATTCTCACAAACCCAATGTACCTTCTTGTATACAAATAAATAAATAAATAAATAAACTTGGGTAAATACTGGTTCAGTAACAGGGTTGTTGATTTGTGGAACCAATTACCGCGTAACGTGGTGGAGGTGGGGTCCCTCGATTGTTTCAAGCGCGGGTTGGACATGTATATGAGTGGGATTGGGTGGTTATAAATAGGAGCTACCTCGTATGGACCAATAGGCCTTCTGCAGTTGCCTTTGTTCTTATGTTCTTATGTTCTAACCTTGTCCATGGAGGACAGAAGAAAATGTATATATGTTGGTTAGCATTGTAAATGTGTGGCCACGTCTGTGGTAGAAAAAAAACGCCCACGGGATGGGTATGGGGTGCATAATAAAGAAAGAAATTGTAAAATTGTAACCTTTGTTCGATATAAATGAAAAAAAACTTTAGGATTTGTCTTTGCAAATTCCAAAAATAGGATTTTTTTTTTGTTATTAACAAGCAGTCAGTCAGGCGCAGTCACAGTGAGAGGTTGTGTTAGCTGGAGCTCCGATTGTATTAACATTATTATAGCAATAATGGAAGGATTAGTGGAGGAATTGATGAATCTAGTTGGAACTCTGAGAGCAGAGATGGATTCCCTACGAGAGGAGGTACGACAGCTGAAACATCGGGAAGAAACGAAGGAGGAGACCAATATTAATAAGACCTCGTCGTGGAAAGTCGTTAAGGACAGGGGTCTTAAGAAGACCTTGACAAGGCCGCCTACAGACGCCCTAAGGACAGCAAATTCATTTGCCGTGTTGGAGGACGAGTGCTGTGGTGAGCTTGCAGTTCACTCGGAACGGAAATCAGCGAGGAGCGGAGGAGCGCGGGCCCCTCAGGGTGCTCAGAAAGTTAAGGAGGTACCGAAGCGAATTTTGGTTGTGGGAGATTCCCAGGTGAGGTATTTAGACAGGACGTTTTGTGCTAGAGATAGGGGGAACAGGTTAAGGGTCTGCTATCCGGGAGCTGGAATTGGAGATATTGTTGACAACATGAAAGATATTATGACGGGAAATGGGAACAAACCCATTATTTGTATTAGTGCAGGGGGTAATGATGTTAGACGAGTTAGGAGTGAGGAACTGATAAAGAAATTTAACAAAGCCATAGAATTAGTTAGGAGCAAGGGAGGAATCCCGATCATATGTGGCATTCTTCCAAGAAAGAGCGTTGGGAATGAATGGTTGTCGAAGGCACTTAGTGTCAATTGCCGGCTGGAAAGATATTGCAAATCAAATGCAATAACTTTCATAGACAACTGGGAACACTTCTATTGAAGAAATGAAATGTATGCTCGTGATGGGGTGCATCTATCGAGGGCTGGGGTTGTTGTTGTTGCGAACTCGTTGGAACCAGTGGTTAGAGGCATTTGTTTGGGTTTAAACTGTTAGTAGATAGTGGTATGGGAATTGATAGGGAGAAAGGAGGTAATAAAAATATGTGTTTGTTGGAGAAACAACATTGGCAAAATGATCAGGGAAAGAGAAGGGCCTCAAAATAACAATTCACTTATGGTATATTTCACTAACAGTAGAAGTCTAAGAAACAAAATAAACGAGTTAGATGCTCTTATCTGAACAGAAGAAATTGATATTATTGCACTTACTGAAACGTGGATGAATGTAGAAAATAGAGAACTATTAGCTGAATATCAAATAAATGGATTTAAACTATTTCACACAGATAGATATATTAGACGAGGAGGGGGAGTAGCCATATATGTTAGGGACAATTTGAAATGTAGTCTCAAAGAGGGAATCAAAACTGAGCCACACACAGAAACTATTTGGATAGAATTAAACGAAAAAGCAAATATTATTATAATAGGAGTTATATATAGGCCACCAAATTTAGACAGAATGGAAGCAAAGTATCTACGGGATGAAATATCTAGAGCATCTAGATCTAACAGTATTTATGTCATGGGTGACTTTAATGTTAGTGGAATAAACTGGGTGAACAAAACAGGGAATAATGAAGCAGAAGACTTTCTAGAATTAATTGACGATTGCTTTCTTACGCAACATATTAAGGAACCAACGCGGGGAAATAATATTTTAGATTTAGTGTTAACTAACAGGGAAACACAAATTAAGGATATGGAAATAGGGAGTGAGCTAGGGAACAGTGATTATAAATAAATCAGATTTAGCATAGAATGGAATAGATCTGTAGGAGAAAATTCTGTTAAAGTGCCTGATTTTCGAAAAGCTGATTTCAATAGCCTAAGAAATTTTTTGGGTCAAATAGATTGGAATGTCTTGGGGATGGGGCAGAGTTGCCAGATTCAAATTGCTAAAAGTAGCGAGCTGACGTTCTAAAAGTAGCGAATTTGTAATAAGAGTAGCCCAATTTTTTGTTTAGTGACTGATACGGGTTTCAAAGTAATCTATTATGATATATAGAGTACATTAAACAATTTTAATCGTTTTATTAACATTATCTCTGCATATATATATTTAACCAATATGATAATAGGATAACTTACCAATATTTACTGTTTGAATACAATACAATACAATACAATTTTATTTAGGTAAGGTACATACATACAATAAATATTTACAAGGATTGTTTAACTTATAGGTATAGCTAGTACATACAATGCCTAAAGCCACTATTACGCAAAGCGTTTCGGGCATGATAAACTTAAATGACAAGCTTAATACTAATTGAGCATAATGAGTAGAATGAATAGAATGAAGCTTAATGGGTGTGGAGTCCTTCCACGTCTTTACAGTTGAAGATTACCAAGATCTTGATCTGCATCCACAACCTCGTTCTTGTATATTGTAGACTCATATTTAAGCATTGACATGAGTGGTTCAAATGACGAGCAACAAGTTACATTTTCTTCAAGATATGTTTTGATTCTCAAGACTGATGTCAAAAGCTCAAGTCCCATTCCCATTCAAGATTTCTCAGTTTAGTTTTCACAGACGTTACTCTCGAAAATATCCGTTCAACCAGGGCATTACTGATTGGCAAGCTGTATATTTTCAACACAAACTCAGCGAGGTCAATCAGTATGGGATCGCCAGCAGTGTTCTTGACAGTTATTGTCTTGGTCTAAAATGACGATTCAGATGTCGGAATTTGTCCCTTACAAATGTTGGACTAGTCAATGGTTAACAGTAGGCGCCACTGACTTTCAATTTCACTAAGCTTAGATTGGTCAGCTAATACTAACGGAAGTTCCGAAAATGGTGGCCATGTAAGCTAAGGCATATGATAGGTAACAGATTTTTCACCTTTTTTATAGTTTCAACATTACTTAGAATACGAGAAAGAAGCTATTTGCAAGCTTTCATTAAAAAATTATCGCATCTTTCTTGAACATTTTGAAACTTTTCCTGGGTTGTAAAATTGTTTTGTCTGTTAGTGGCCAGAAGTGTTGAAAATTCGTAACCAAAGTCCACTTTCTCCAGGGGCAGATACATAGAATTGTAGTCCAAATTAACATGAAGCTTTGCATGATGAGGACGAAAGATTCTTCTGAGTATTCCAAGAGTGAAGTTTTCTAAGACAGTGTGAAGGCTATACTGATCTGCTTCATCTTTTGATAAAGTAAATTCATCCTTTCAAAATCATTTAGGATTGGTTTGAGACATGTGAAATATAGCTTATTGGAGGGATCAGAGTACATTGAAAATAGTTGCCTTGCAACATATTTATCACAAGAGAAAAAAGCCATTTGGTTATGAGTTGTTAGACGTCCCCAGGGGCCGGTCTCTGACCAGGGCTCTCATGCGGTAAGTGGTCTAGTCAATCAGGCTGTTGGACTCGGCTGTGATTTGTACAGATTATATTATTAAAGCATAAATAATCATCATTGAGTTTCTGATCCTTAGGTATAGACAGCAATGTGCCGAGATTGGGTGGATATAAATAGGAGCTACCTCGTATGGGCCAATAGCCCTTCTGCAGTTAACTTCATTCTTATGTTCCGAGAAGATAAAATTTTGTGTTTTATATGGCATATACAAGGCGGGTGACGTCTTAATTTTACTCCGGCACATTTCACAGGTTTGATTTTACTGTATAAAATAACATTATTCTACGTAAAATAATTGGACCACCGTATGTTTTTTCATGATCTAAAGTATCATATTTTCGAGTACGTATCTTAGAATGAGAAAATTATAAGCAGAGATATAATATTTAACCAATCAAAATACCAACAGGTCACGTGACTGGTCTTGCTGCTACGAATGCAGTATCAAAAATAGTGGAAAATCTTAAACATGTTTTGCCTTTATAATCTGATAAACATAAAGTACATAGCCGTATGGCTAACAGGATTAATAGTTCTTATTTTACATGCTAGAATGTTTAATAATTGTTGAGAGTTCAAAAAATATTAGGTGTAAACGGGTGCTCCAAAAGTGATCCTCGATGGAAGGGAGGTGGTGGAAGAATTCAGCCGTCAATGGGTGCCCGACGTCGGCATCTAATGTTCACGGGAGGCAAGGTGTACTCTCGTCTTCTTCCCTAAAATTACGCTAACCTATATTTCCAATAGGGCTCCATTACAGCTCGTTTGGAAGGTTGGGGGCTTCTTTAATCTGTCCCTTTACCAGAGCTTGTAAGAGCGGAGGGGAGCGTAAAGAAAGGGGGAGAAAATCTGTCCAGTCCAGAGGTAGCATCGACGATGGCCAACCATAGGAAAGAAAGCAACGGTGCTCGGTAGTTCAGCTCTCTTTCTTATTTACGTGTGTTTGTCATCCTAGTTCTGAAAACTTGGGTAAAAGTATTTCCTCTAAATGTTTATTTGTTGCTGGATTGATGTCATGCTGAGATTTCTGATGTTGGGTGAAGGAAGTGGAGAACATTCACCAAGTTTGGCATAGTTGGTTGTGGCTGGTGTGCCAAGTGTGATGTTTTGGTTAGTGCGGCGTTGCCACGTGCTCCAGGTCCTCCACCTCCCACACTCTCCATTACTTGTGGTTATAAATTAACACAATAATCATGAACTCATCAAGCGACTCATCACCAATCGAGTGAGTGGGCTTGGACTTGGCGGCGACTGGCAAATTTGTGACAGTCACTACATTGTTCTTGGGAAAGAGAGTTTTGTTGAGATGAACACGTAACTTTCTTGTTACTTAGGATATCCTCTTGCGTCTAAAAATAATAAAATAATTTATATTTGCAGGAAGGTACAATAGGTTGGTGAGATTACATAATTCATATTCTTTATTATGCACCCCATACCTATCCCGTTGGCGGTGGCGGAAAGGGTTACAGAGGCACATAATGGGTTCAGGCACTGAACCCCAGGACTCGGTTAGCTCAGCAAGTGACAAGCTTATGAAGCTAGTTACACAATTGTTGATGTTACATACACATGAACATATATATATATATATACACACATATACAATACAATATATATAAATATATATATAAATTATTTACACAAATACATATCAATAATCTCTTTTTTTATCAAGTGATTCAACAAGAGGCTCACAAGTCACTATACAAGGCACTTATCTATGGTGAGTCACACAGTTACTAGTCATGTGCTCCACACCCACCCAACTGGGCGGCAGCTTTACAGTCATGTGCTGCACACCCACCCAACTGGGCGGCAGCTTTACAGTCATGTGCTCCACACCCACCCAACTGGGCGGCAGCTTTACAGTCATGTGCTGCACACCCACCCAACTGGGTGGCAGCTTTACAGTCATGTGCTCCACACCCACCCAACTGGGCGGCAGCTTTACAGTCATGTGCTGCACACCCACCCAACTGGGTGGCAGCTTTACAGTCATGTGCTGCACACCCACCCAACTGGGCGGCAGCTTTACAGTCATGTGCTGCACACCCACCCAACTGGGCGGCAGCTTTACAGTCATGTGTAGGCTGCACCTACAGTAAGTAAATTTGGGATACTTGGCTAGGATTCCCAGCAGCACATCATTATGAATGAAGTACTGTACTTACACATTTCTTGGACACCATTGATGGTGTTATACAGTGGTACCTCAGCTTACGAATTTAATCCATTCCCAGAGACGATTCGTAAGCCGAAAATTCGCAACCCAAAACGAATTTACCCATAAGAAATAATGTAAATTGAATTAATCCGTTCCATACTCCCAAAAATAATCGCTTTAAAATAAATTTCATATCTAATTCACCAAAATATTTAGTACTATTGTATATACAAGTTAGTGCTTACCTTTATTGATGACTCTTGTTGGTATATGGAAGATGGTGGGGAGGAGGAGAGGTGTTAGTGTTTGGAAGGGGAGTCCCCTTCCATTATTACATCAGGCAGTGATGACTTCTCTGGAGTGACAGCCCCTTGCATCACGTGCAGGCATTATCCCTGGTCTTATTCGACTAGCGGAGAGGTTTGCTGGACCAGAAAATCAACGATTCGTCAAGGAACTCAACGCACTGTACCTGGCCAACGGCCTAGACCCCATTGTCGCCCCGGACGCAAGTCTCGCTGCCTCCACTACCACTCTGGAGAATACCACCAGAATGACCACGAGGTCGATCTAAACATAGATTCCAGAACCACCCCAGCTGGAACAAAGAGGAATTTCCCTCCCCAGCTCCCAACACCCCTACCATCACCATCTCAGCAATGCACTAGCAGACGTGCTCTCTACAAATACTAACAGCTCCACCAATGCTCCTGAGATAGCTTCTACTACTAATCCACGACCCCTGAGCCTACCTCAGGCTGCGAGACGAAAGTCAAAATCACCAACTACAGTTGTTACGGACTCTTCAGACGAGGAAATCTTAGTAGAAGCTCCACCGCCACAGCACAAATTCGACACCTACTAGTACTCGATAAGACTTCCTCATGGAGGCCACCTCACCAAATGACAGCATGGCTCAGCCAAAATCTCAGCCAAAGAAAAAGCAGAAGACCTGGAGGTCACCACACATCCACCAGCTCCATAACTGTTACAGCAAGCCCTCTGAGGCTGAAATCCACCATGAAGACCCCCATCCATCCCCAGATCTCCAGTATCAGCTATTGATACAATGGCTCCAAAGAGCCTCCACTTACGGGCTCGCCATAGCCCGTGCTACTTGAGACTCTTTTTTTCTGAGTAGCTGAATCTAAAACAACAACAATTCTCTGGGGTACTCTCTCTCCTACATTTTGCATGCATAGCACTAGGAACTGGTTGTGAGTCGCTGCTTGCTTGCTTGTACTAAGAATCTGTCTAAAGACATTTGTGTTTCCCTACATTTTAACACATGTATGTAGTGAGCCATCACATTGTCATTAATAAGATCAATGCAACAGCCTGCTAAAGCTTTATCTGGGTGAGTCTTTTCAGTAAAACTTTGCAGTTCTTCCCATACTGCACACATTTTCTTAATGAGGAAGGGACATCTTCTACTTCCTCCTCCTCCTCCCCTGAAGATTTGTTGTACTGCCTAGTTAGTTCAACAACCCGTGTACCATTTTCATGTTTACGAATGATCTCTTGTTTTTGATTTATGATCATCCTCACATGGGTTTTCTTAGGTTGAACCTTACCACTGACTTTCTTGGGAACCATGGCATGATATACTGTATAATAATTATTTTTATGTTCAGAAACCAAAAAAGCAGAAAAACAATGAAATTCTTTACAAAGAATTCAAGCACGATTGTCACTAAGATTGTCACTGGTAAACTGAAGTGCGGGCGACCCTGCCACTAGGAACCACGCGCTCGGTCGACCCATACGTGTATCAACAAACTCATAACTCGAGGCAAAGCTTGTAAACCGATTCAAATTTTACAAAGAAATTTGGCTTGTAACCTGAAAAATTTGTAGAGGGGCATTTGTAAGCCGAGGTGTCACTATTTCATTTGCCACTGTCTGTAACCACTGTCTCAGACTAAGATTAACTGTAACAGAAAAATTAAAAATACAAGTCAAAGTTTCGTCAATGAAATACCACACAGGGCGCAGTCTGGTATTTGTACATTCATGGAAAGCCACTAACACATATAGTGTTTCGGGCGGGTTCTTAATCTAATATATCAGGTAAGATGAAAAGGTACGTTTTAGCAAGGTTTTATATCGACAAATAACTACAATATAAGTTGGTGATTACACAGGTAAGAATATGTGTCTTAAGTACTAATAAAATTGGGGAAGTGGGTAGTACAAGATACAGTGCGAGTTTGAAGCACAAGGTAGAAAACTATGAGGATGAAATTAAGTACTTTTTTTTTGGTTTTACCTTTGAACAGTGCATGGGTTGGACAATTTTTTAATTCATCAGCGAGTGAGTTCCAAAGATTGGATCCTCTTTTTTTTTTTTTTTTTTTTTTTTTTTTTTTTTTTTTTTTTTTTTTTGTACGGAGTGTTTGTACAGATTTAGTCTGACTCTGGGAATATCAATGATGTATTTATTTCTGGCACGGTGCTCATGGGTTCTGCTACACCTATCAAGGAAACATTCCAGATCAAGATTAGCATTTAGGAACTAGGTTTTGTACATGTTGATAGCACATCAGAATGTATGGAGTGAGAGTGTGTGTTTAGCATGTTAAGGGACTTAAACAGAGGGGCTGTGTGTTGTCTGAAGACAGTTATAGTTCTGATAGCAGATTTTTGCCGAGTGATATGGGCATGAGGTAATTTGCAATGGTTGAACCCCATTCACAGATATTGTATGTAAGATAGGGATAGATTAGTGCTTAGTATAATGAGAGGAGAGCAGAGTGGGGAACATAATATCTGATTTTTAGAGAGTCGAGACAACTGGCTGCAACCCTGCGACCCAAAACTTCACATGCCCGAGAAGGGCCAGGAAAATGAATGAGATACCGTGCGGCCAGGACCCTGTTGGACCTCCAAAAGCCCCATGCCCGAATGTCAGCCCAGGACATTACCCAAAACAGCAGCCAAAGCTATGAACCTAAGAACTTCCCAATACTATGAATATCGATTCTTTTTCCAAATTTCTCAAACCATCCCCCTGATTTATATCAAGTGATTCATATCTGCATCACTTGTTCCATGGGTTTTCTTCATAAGATCTTCATGCAATATCCTTGCTTTTTCACAAATGATGGCCTCTGAAATGCTTTCAGAGACCCATGGCGTGATATATAATAAGAACTTTTATGTTCAGAAACCAAAAAATACAAAATCAATGAAATTCATGTTGACCAAACCACAGACTAGAAAGTGAAGGGATGACAACGTTTCGGTCCATTCTGGACCATTCTTAAGGCGCGGTTATCGACTTGAGAATGGTCCAGGATGGACCGAAATGTCGTCGTCCCTTCACTTTCTAGTGTGTGGTTTGGTCAACATATTTCAGTCACATTATTGTGACTCCTTGTATGCAATGAAATTCATCACAAAGAATTCAAGAGCGGTCGTCACTAGGCGGGAGACACTGGTAAACTGAAGCTCGACACCCACTCAGTCGGCCCATACATGTATCATCAAACTCGCCAAACATGGCAAAGCTCATATACTGAGTCAAATTTTGTGAAGAAAGGGAGCTCATAAACCAAAAAATTCGTAAAGAGGGGCATTTGTCAACTGAGGTTCCACTGTATGTTGAAACATCAAGTGTGTCAAGCTAATGATAATATATGTAGATAATACAAAAATGTGTGTTAGCTTGACACACTTGATGCTCATGCAGCCCTCCTAGCATGTTGAAGTGATTTGATGAAATATGTGCTCAGTGCCACAAGC